TCCAATGCTGCATTGATTACATTTCTTTTAGTATTGGTTAACTTAGTACTTTCTATAAAATTACTTAATAGTGATTATTTCAAATCTAATTTTGTTTTTTTGGCTGGTTTTTTTTTATTCTCAACAGTTCTATTAGCAATTGTTTTCAAAAATTCATTTTGGATTTCAATTGGACAAAATACATACTCATTTGTTAAATAGTTTTCAAAAAGATTTGATTTATCCTGCTGATATTTTTTGTTACAATAATAACATGTTACTAAAAAATGTTCACAACTTTTATCAATAGCTGTTTTATAAAAATATTGTTAAGCAATTGATTCTGGTTGCCCAACTGTATTTTTGAATGATAAGAAAACTGTTTGATTATCATTACTTTGTATTTTTAATAGATAGATAAATAGAAAAACAATAAATTTGTTATTTTTTTTTTTTTATTTTTTTAAATTTAATTGATTAATAATTGCAGCACAATTGCAGCAAATTTAATAATTGTGACAAATTATATGATTGCATCATAATAATTTAATTGTAGTATAATTGTGGCAAATCATATGATTGTATTATATTAATTTAATTGTGACATAATTGTGGAAAATTTAATAATTGTAGTATAATTGTGGCAAATTTAATAAGTATAGCATAACTGTGGCAAATTTAATAATTGCAGCATAATTGTGACAAATTATATGATTGCATTATATTGATTTAATTGCAACAAATTTATATAATTGTACCACAATTGCAGCTTGCAGCATTATAAAAATTTCAAATAATTGAGTCAATTGTAAAATAATTTTAGCCACATATATAGTCTAGAGAAACAGAAACATTTTTTGATATTTTTAAAGAAATTCATAGTAGGCTAGTTTGTTGTTTCCTCTAGATTAACAAATGTAATTGTATTTATATTCTACAACTTGTATTAGGAAGTATGGATTGAGATCAAAGTTATTAATATATCTCAAATAAGTAATAAATAAGCTAGTACTTAATAGCAGCTTAATCTTGGATTTGATTTCTCTATTAAGTTTAATAACTTTGTATTTGCTTCTATATATTTTTTGAAATCTGCTTTTTAGTTTCTCATATTTTTTTTAATGATTTTTTTTGAGTTTAGTTGTTTTACTAAAGTTGAATCCTCTGTTTCTAGTTTCTATTTTGATAAAAATAGCTAGATGAAGTTTCTGTTTAACTTTATTTCTGGATTGTTGATTGATATTTAATAGAAGTTTGATAGGTTTTTCTGAGTTGTTTCCAATTGAGGTAAGTTTAAATACCTATTGGATAATATAATAATACTTACTAACAAGATTATCAGGAATATTTATATTGTCTTTTTCTTTATTAATATTAATAGTTATATTATAGTTCTTTATTCCTGAGCTTTTTAGAATAAGATCTTTTTTGTATGTTCACAGTCTCTTATATGCTGTATCCAGTTTTCCTTTATAAATACTTTTTTTTACTGGATGCTTCTGTTTATATTGTTATTTAGGAGATTGAGTATCTCTAAGAATAGATAAAGGGAATGTAAAAATGTGTGACTTGACTTGTTGCACTGGCCAAAAATAATAGTTAATTGTAATATAATAGAAGTATTTGATAAATAAATAATTATTAGAAATTTTTTTCTTCTAATAGATATATGAACGTATAGTATTTTTTATATTTATATTTTCTGGAATAGGAAAGTTTAAGTCTATAGATATGAATAAATTATCTTTGTACAATTTTCTGATAGATGATTAACTGTAATTGATAAGTGTTTTTGAAAAGTTTGATTGGATAATATTTTGGTATGAGTTGAATTGTAATTGAATAATTATAGTATTTGTTTATAAAATTTGATTGGCAGTTAAAGAGTTATCTTATAATTCTATATAGGAATTTTATGTTTCTGAAGCTTTATTAAGAAAAGAGATACTGGTTACAATTGAGTGAATAATGTTTTCCAGATAGTATGTTCTTATAAGAAAGAATATTTTAGATTTTTTGATTGAATTTTTGTTAATTTGAATTATATTTCAGAAAATATGTTTAGAATAATTCTAGCCTTTTACTATAACATTTTAAAGAACTTGATTTCTTAATTGACTATTTTTTGTAAAGACTCTTTGAAACAAGTTATGAAAGTTTAGAAATTCATTTAGCAGCTGAAGAAGTTTTTTTTAAGAGTCATAATCTATATTTAAAGATTGTTATTATTATCTAATATTGTGAATTATATTTGAAAGATCAATAAAGTTAAAGAATCTGCCCTAGTGAGATTTGTAGTAGAAATAAATTACTTGAAGAAATAATCACTAAGTAAAGATATTATTAAGGTTCTGAAAGATTTTATAAGAATGATTTCTTTTTTCTGATTTTGATAAATTATTAATATATAATATTTTGTTCTTTCTATATATTACACTTTGGATTTATAATTGTTGTTTGGAAATTTGAGTTGTTGTTTTATATTATAATTAGATTTTGTTTTGTTATGAATATTTATTTTATACTAAAATATATAGTTGTTTGGATATTATTATTTGTTACTTGTTATGACATGTAATTATTTACATGTAATTTATTTATTTTTAATAAAATGCAAAGTTGTTTGGTTGATATTAATATACTTATGATTGATGTAAACTATTGTTAATATATTATTATATTGACATATTTTGTTGTTAATATAATTAATTATTATTATTATGTTTTGAATATTGATATATTTATTTATACACATATATGTTTATTTACTTGTTTACTATTAATTTTATTATTTGAAGTATATGTTTATAACACACTAAATTTGGAGGAAGTAAACTAATTTTAGTTTTAATAAACTGAAAGTATATATATAAAGATTTTTTTTTATCTCTATATAGTTGAAAGAAAGTCTGATATTCTTTTAACTCAAGAAATATAGCAAGGTTGTCTGATTTATCAAATGAAATCTGACCTTTCTTAAGTTTCTACAAAGTTTAAAGAAGATATTTAACTTGACACATGACTGGCTGTAGTGATGATAGGAAGATTTATTTCTTGAGACCTTATTGTAAATCAATAAGTTTAGTTTTTATATATTTTTTTTATAAGAAGAAGATAAATTGCTGGTTGCTCATTTGTAATATCTATAAATTAATAAAGTTAATGTTATTAAAGTATTTACAATGTTATATCTGATAGAAGTAATGTTTCTTTAGATTTGAAGTACTTTAATTAAGAAAAACTTGATAAAGTTTTTTCTTTTTTAGAGAAGATTTTTTAATTAGAAAATTTGATAATGAATGGAAAAGAGTTTTTGCTTCTCCTTACCTTTATTATATTATAAAATAATTTATATTAATATTATTATATTTGCTGAACTAAATATTTCTTTAAAAATATACTCAAATAAAATTGTTAAATCTAATATTTATTTCAAGTCAACTTTTATATACAATATTATTGTAATAATACTTGTTATACTATTTCAAATTTTTCAAAATTTTTTATTCAAAAAACTGAAATTGGTTTATTTTTTTTAGACAATTGTCACTTTCCAATCATCTAATTAGATTTTATTGAAATATCAAAAGAAAAATTAAATCTGTTCAAATTAATTTTTTAGTATAATAATAATAATATTAATAACTTTAAATAATATTAATTATATTATAATTTCTTTGTTATTAAAGCATACTGTATATCAACAATTGAAAAATCTAATAGATTTTAATTTTTCTTATAACTGAACAAGTGACTTTTCTGAAACATAATTTTTATTACTAGATCTTATAATTTATTTATTTTATTTGGTTTTTTTTAGTCTTAATTATTTTATTGTTATATATATTTTAATTATTAATTATTATTTTATTTTTTATTTTTAAATTTATAAAAAGATTTCACAAAATTTTTCAAATAAGTAGATATAGTCACTACTCATTTATCTAATATATTAATATTGATTTTGAAATTTTTTTCAATATTAATTAAATATTGTTAAAGTAGATAAGCTAGTATTTAACTTTTTGAAATATAAAAAAAGATATTTTTCTTTACAATATATATCTTGTTATATACAAATTAAATAAAAAAATAATGTTTATCTATAAAAAAAAACTCCTTTTATAAAAATAAAATAATAAATAAATAAATATATATATATATAATTTTTTTTTTAAACAAATAAACTTTTTTATTTATATTATAAATAGAAATGCTATATTAGTAAGCTTATATAAAAATTTTTAATATATCTTTAGTCTTGATTTTTGATATTTGATAAATATATAATAATTTGATATATTTATCAAATTATTTACTTTTTTATAAATTAATTAGTAAGTAATATTATATGATAAATTATTTTTCACTAATATAGACTTAATAAACTTGTACAAATAATCAATATTTTTTTAATCAATATTTGTTTAACATTTAGCAAGTATGTAATGCTAGTACAATTAAGTGAAATAAATTAAAATTAATATATAAAATAAATAGAAAGTTTTAATAATAAGCTTATATTGATTTTTAAATTAATAAAAAAGTATATAAATATTCTGAAATACAAATAGTGATAAAGTTTTAACCTTTAAAAAATATATTCCGATAAACGTTTTAACCTTTAAAAAGCATATCAATAGAAATTGCCATAAAAGTTATTGTACTATTAATAACTTAATAAAAATAGTATGATTTAAAAATCGTGACCGCAAGATTCTGTAATTGATATTATTGAAAAGTGTCACCTAATAAAAATCGCGCGATAAAGGCAATAAGGTCAATAAAGTTTATAAATAGATTCAACAATGTCCTACAATTCGGCCGTTCAGTTACACAGCCGGCACGAGATCACCCTATTAACAATCTTTCCATTAAAAACTCACTTTCGCCCCCCTTGAGAAGATAACCAAGCCTTAGCTGTAATATGGTAAATTATTTATTAAACATCTCAATATATATTTTTGTATAAAACTTGGTTCTTAAGGTACAATATCAGGAGGTATCAACTTCACAACTAAATGCAATACCAACAACAAGCTGGAGCTGTTCGAGCTCAACAAAATTATAATTATGGTGCGTGCATGGAAAATGGTTGTTCGTGTCCTGCAATGATACCAATTGAAGGATGCCCGGACAGATGTGCCAAATGCTCGCACGATAATTTAATACATATTAATTTAAGTTCAGGTAACGTATCTTGGTTCAGTTAGCTTGTTTATTTACAAAATGCTAAGTATTTTATTCGATCTATCCTGAAAATTTTTTTCTAGAATCGAGCCAAGATTATAATGTAGGTAATGGCATAAATAATCAATCATGCCCCCCGAACAATATAAACTCGGAATTGAATTCTCTTGGATATCCCGTCAATAACGAAGTAGTCGAATACGCAACGTATCCAGACCAACAAGCATACTTTAATCAGAAGAAAACTCCAGGTATCTTCGAGTTAAGGAAGAATTCATCAAAAGATATATACATAACTAACTTATAATATACGATTAATCTACCTCAATGCTCATCAGATAAAAAACTTCCAGGTAGTGATTTATAAAGTTTATTATATGCGCATTGATTTGTTATTTTCGAAAAATTTTTAACATCTTGAATGGATAATCAGTACGAGAAATACCTCCGCCCAATACAATATGGTTCTATAATCGTAATGAGAAATACTATGAATTTACGAACTTCCAAGAAGGTTATCCGATTGTCGCTGCACTGGTGCAGCCCAAACCGGGAGAACAACCTAATTGTAAGAAATGGCCCACAAGTGAACACCTTTTTCAGGCAGCAAAGTTCAAGAAGGATCATCCAGAAATCTGCGAGCATATTAGACTTTGCAAAACTGCGAGAGATGCATTAAATATGGCGCGACAGTATCAACATTATGTGGATCCAAATTGGCAAGATATTAACGTACAAGTGATGGAATGGGTTGTCTCACAAAAATTTGAACAACACCCAGTTTTGGCATCAATGCTAATATCAACAGGCGATCTTGAACTAGTAGAACATACGGAAGTAGATAGTTTTTGGGGAGATGGAGGTGGTAAAGGGCGTAATGAGCTTGGGCAAGTGTTAATGCGAGTCAGAAAAAAGTTAAGAGAAAGGGCTCAATTTCACCCCGAAATCAATGCTCCCATAAACGTGAATCATGCAGAGGACAACTCAATATATATGATATCGGGATCTCACACTCATTCTTCATCGTCTGTAAACACACAAAATCAATTTTATTCTCAGGGATTAGATAGTTCATGGGTTCATTTGAACAACTTGAATACTCCCCCTCCACCATTACCTCCGCGTAATACCAAACGCGATCTAACTAAATATAATCCTAACCAGCTTCAAGTATCACAGCAACAGATACCACCGCCACAACAATCACCAATACCACCACAATCAATCCCACAGCAACAATTAATGATACAACAACAATCAATGCCACCACAACAACCAATGCCACAACAACAACCAATGTCGCAGCAACAATCAATGCCGCAGCAACAGACAATGCCGCAGCAACAATCAACACAACAGCAACCACTACAACCAGTAAACAATAAAAATGATATAATTGTGAATTCAAATAATTCGAATCCGCCTTCCCAATATAATTATATTTAATTGACAGTAAAATAAAATTTCATTTACAAAAATATTAATTTATGACATCTCGGGGTACTATTAAGTAGCATAATAATAAAAAGTTTAAAGGTTCGCGATTTACATAAGAAAAAGCAAACAAAACTTAATGTATTTAAGAATTGTTATATTAAGTGCTCATTGTACGATTTATTATCTTATAATAAAAGTTTTTATTAATTTAACTTTCATGTTCAACATCAATACAACGCTAAATCAATTGTAATTTTAAATATAACATAAAATTTATAAAATAAAATTTTTTCAAAGTTAATAACAAACAAAAATTTCGAGAAAAATCAGTAATAATTTTAATAAAATAAGAACAAAGTACTAATAATTATAAAACCAATTATGATTTATGATTATAATTAAAATAACATCTTTAAAAACGAATTTAAATAAAATAGAAAAACAAACTAATAAAACTATAAATAATCTTTTTATAATTTGTTGTTTAGATAATTGTAATTTAAAATAAAAAATTTTAAAGCTTGTTTTTGTTAAAAATTAATAATAATAATTTTTTTTTTTTAATTCCGCAATCAGGTTGGTATTGTAAATCATAAAGAACCATTACACACACGAGAATACATGCAAAGTACAAATTTTCCTGATCCAACTCACCCGTCTTTAGCCGAAGCCTCTAGATATGATTTATGGGGGTGATATATTGTTCCCCTAAAGGATGGGATTAAGATCCCGAATTTCCAATAGGATCAGTACCTGCAGATTATCTTCACAGTCACAACCATAAATCTAAATTGTGTTACCCCCTCTTGTAAAAATTATGCAAGGACAAAAAGAAATAAAAAAAGGAATTTTTGACAAAAAAAAAAGAAAAAAAAGCTATTATCTATTCTAACTATCATTGAAAAGGTTATCTCAGTGAACTTAAAATCCAAGCCCCCCATAGTTTTCCACTTCTCATCACCTGTGGCCAATTAAACTGTTTAATTTCCAATGGAGTAATCAATATCCAAGAATGTTTAAGGGTACTTCCAGGAAAGTATTTCTTGAAACTTTATGCTTGAAGACTTTTAACCAAAAAGGATATTGATTTTTTATTGTTGATTTCTCTTTCAAGTCGTGTCTTCTGGAATTATAACTTTACTCAACCAGTGGATAGTTTCAAGATTTCTTTCTCCAACCATTTTCAAGATAGATATTGGTACTTCAACTTGTTATCAAATTGGGATAGGACCTAGACCTTGTTGCTACTTCCTGTTCTTAAAATAAGAAAGAAAAAAAGAAAATAAAAGGATGGGAACAAAAAAAGGGATTGCTTCTTTTTTTCTTACAACTTCAACTTGAAACCATTTAACTCTTTCAGGAACCAATTATATCATCAGTTTAGTGTTGTGCAACTGGAAACACATGAGAAGTATGTGTTTTGTTTACTTTTTCTGTGGCTGACGTGATCAACCAATCTGTGACCTTGATCAATCATCTTTCAGGAAATTCGGTGTAATCAAAAAATTCAAGATCAAATTGAGATAGGCAAAATTCCTCAGAAAAATCAAAAAAAAGAAAGCACGCTTGAGAAAAAAAAAGTAGGAAGTCAAAGAGATGATAGAAAGACCAGAGACTTTTTTATTCTTGTTTTTTTAGATTTTTGAATCATTTGAAGGTCTTTGAAATGTATTTTTTCTTGTCAGTTTTCTTCCTATAAAGGTATTCTTGCCATGGATCTTTTAGGTGGGTTTCTTGTATTTAGTCGTAAAAATAAACAAGAAAAGTGTTTTGAAAAAGAAAAACAAAACAAGTGGTAGCTTTTACTTGCTTGGCTGGTTAGAACCAGTATTGTTTTTAAGGAAAGTATATAGACTTTATTATTATAAAGACAAAAAATTTTTGAAAACATCTGTTTTTTGGATTGACAAAAGGATCAGCGAAAAGAGTCTGTTATTAAATTTAAATAACTTTAATTAATTTATTATATAATAAAATATAAAAATTTATTGTCAATTACAATTATTTTCTTCTAAATTAAAATATTTATCAATATAATTTATTTCATCTAATAAAATTTGACTATTATTTTTTTTTGATTTTTTTTTATTAAATCTTCAAGTGCATATAATATAGATAAATTCTGCTGCAATTGATTATGTCAATATTTTACATGGATTTCTTTTTTATTGCAGTTATAGTTCTTTTGACCAAATTTTGTGATAAATCATATGTTACTTTTTTTTTTAAAGTGAAACATGTGCAAGTCATGTGATCTTTATTAATATATTTATATATCCAAACAAACATCAAGTGTCTCTACAAATTAACTGAAAATCAGTTGGTATATGAATACTTATTATGTCTCTATAGCTAATCTACAAATTAATATTATCTAGTACATATATTATTATAAGACTAACTATATCAATTACTTATAATTCAACTATGTATTTATTTAAATATTCAAAGATATACCTATATATCAAATGGAACTTTTTGCAGAAAAAGAAATCCTACCACTAGTTTAAAACTCACCTAACCTACTAAGTTTATATTGCAAAGAACAGTATAATATAGAATATTATTATAAAGATTAATTCTAGTCATTTCAATCACTTGTTATTACTAATCCTCAGGATATACTACTAGTATAGCATAGCATTACCATTTTCATTACTTGTAAAACTGGTATCCTTGCTTGAATTCTGATTTAATCTTGATGATTCTCATCAGACTCACTTGATCTTAATGATTTTTGTCTGGATTGTTATCTTCTGTGGCTAATAACCTTTTGCCCTTTTGATCTATTTAAGTTTACATGAACATCACTTATGGGATAAATCCTCAAGTTTCAGATTGGAATAGATCAGTTTAGTATTAATCTCTTTGGGTTGTGTGACAAAGTCCACCATCATCAATTTGAATTAAAATTTTGTGGACTTTTATCAAAATTAGACTAGAAGCCTTTTCTTATACAACCTTCTATGCTTCAACCTATTTTCAGCCTACAATTGTCAGAAAGATTAAAGATCTCATCTTCATACAGCTAATTAAATTTGGATGTGATTCAGGATTATTGGATATGACATATGCAGGATATTCAGTAAACTTACATATAAAGGTAAATATGCTTTTTTGCCTTCTGTAAGTATTAAACTAGAGATATGCATTTGGTGACCTGGGAGCATTACCTACTGTACTATTGACCCACAGGTTATAAATTATATGTTACTTCTTCTATTGGTAAAACAGTTATACTATATAACTAGGGTTCTGATCAGTTTTGATTTCGGTATTAATTTTTATATAAAAATACTAAACCAAAAATTTTGATATTGTATCAATTGATAAATAATTAATAAATAATTATTTTAAATTATATATTTTTTATATTTTTAATAAATTTATTAAGTATTAATTAAATTTTACCAAATATTATTATAAATGCAATTTTTTTATTAAAAATATATAATTTGATTTTACTGAAGTATATAATACTAAATAATTTTGTCAACTTTATAGTTAAATAATAAAATTTATTTTAACTAAAAATATTTTATTGCCAAATAATTTTATTGTCAAATAATTATTTTTTGTCAAATGTTATATTATTTTTTGTCAAATTATTGTATATTTTTTAAGTGCTGAATGGCATAAATTGAATTAAATAACAAAATTTTGATATAAACTTTTATTAATAAATTTGAATTTAATTAACTGTAAATTGATAGTTAAATAATCTAATTTAAACTAATATTAAAAGTAAAATAATTTTTTTATTTTAAACATATACAAAATTTTATATAATTTTTTATATTAAAATTTTAAAAACAAAATTTAAAATTATTTATTTTGGACCTGTGGGTCCATAGTGTAATGGTTAACACTTCACAGATCAGATCACAAGATATTAGTTCAACTCCAGGTAAAGGCAACTGAACCAAATAAAAAATAGTATCTGAGGCTATAACCTATAAAGCCCTGTTTCCCATAGGAAGTCATTCGCGCACTGATCCATAGAATATTGGAATTGTAATCTCCAAGAAAGGTGCATAGTGGGATGATTGTCTGGAAGTGGTACGATGATCATCTGACAGAAGCCAAGAACCAACCATACATTTGGATGCACAGACTGGGCTGTGTTCCATTTTAACCAACCCAAGCGAGAAATTTCATTCTGCTAACTTCCGAATAAGACAACTTTGAAGATGCACACTAAACTGACACTAACGTCTTATGTACATGGACCTCTGGCAGCTTACTGTATCTGTAGGAGTTGCGTCCTGCTTGGCATTCATGTCCCTAGATTTGGCAGCTAACACTAACCAGCCCCTCTGGATATATCTACTAAAAGACAGGAACCTTGGACATAGTGGTCACACCAGTCTGATCTGTATGTGTCCCTGCAGAGTTGTATCCCAATTGGTCGAAAAGAACCCCTAGGTTTGGTAGCTGATAGTTAACCAGAGGATAATAGGTTTGGAGCATTCACTAGGGAGTACAGACCTATATGAAGTCCCTTTGTTGCATTAGCTATGTGAGTGAAAAGGTGTATAGTGATAAGTTACTTATAGAGAATAGTTAGTAGTACCCCATTGTTTCTGCACAAAAATTGAACTGGTAGGTTAGGTGGTTTAAACTAGTGATAGGAATTCCCCTCCTAGATAGGTCCCCCAAAGATGTAAAAAAATACTTCAAGAGTGTCAGATTAATATTAACGGACAAAAGTAGTTGATAGACTAGCATTAAGCTATAGTGTAACTGTTACAAAAGATGTTTGATGTATTGTATAGATATGTTTAGTATCAATAAAGACTTGCATCTAATGCTGTTCAACTATAAAAAAAAAAAAAAATTATTTATTTTGAAAAAAAAAACTCTTTTATATATATAACATTTTTTTAAAAAATTTGTCTTTCAATACTCAAAAGTTTTTTTTTTTTTTCAACTAGTGAGATCTTGCCCAACATATTTTATTTAGTTTATATGTGTATTGCTTGTTACAAGACTTACTATCTATAAACTAT